AATATACACACCTAAATTTTATAATCTAATAATTTTATATTCGATTGTAAAATACATCTCTTAACCTTAAAATTGAGGTTTGAAATTTTCATCTTTATTGTAAATCATTCGAAAAAAAAAAAAGAGTTCTCCCCCACCTTCACTATAAACGTTTAGAAAAAAAAATATAAGAATGTACTTAAAGAATTGTAATTCAGTGGATGGAAGAATTTATTTTTTATTTTATTAATCAAATTTTGATGAGATTTGGTTAAAATAAAGATACAACTTTTTAAAAATTTTTGAATTGAGGGTATGATTTTTATTTTAGTAATTAATCAAAATTTCTATCTTTTAAAAGTATCTAATAAAAAATATGATATTTGCAATTTCACGAACGAAACTGATTAAGTGAACGTATACGAACCGAACCTTTAAATCCAATGGTTTAACCCCAAATCTTAGTGTTTGGGTAAGGCAGTGATCAGAGTTTCGAATTCTACTATCGTCGTGAACTCCACTAAAAAGCGATTTAATGACCGCGCGCCTCATTTGAGGAGGTGAAATGTTTACCCGATCTGTGAAATCTCAATTGATAACATCTAACTCATACTAACTTTTTAATCATTACCATTGTTAAAAAAAAAAAAAATTAAGTGAACGCACATGCTGGCGTAACTATCACGATTTAAAAAATATAAATGTAGAACAAGGATTAAATGAAATCCATTGGCAACGCTAGTACTAACCATGTCTGCTGAATCTTTTATTAATAAAATTGTAAATGTTATATTTTTCAAACGTTTGAAAGACTATAACTTTAATTTATTATCAGGAAAAAAGAAGAAGAAAAGTCATACCCTCAATTAAAAACTTTAGAAATGCTGTATCCTTATTTTTACTAAACCTTAAGTTTTGATTTTTTAAAGCGATTAATAAAAAATAATTTCTCATAAAATTTCTAGTTGCAACATAGATGATCTCTCTTTAACCTAAGGATTAGTCTTGAGATCTTTTTTTTGGCTACCTCATATTAATAATTTAAATATGTAATACTTTTTTTAACATTGACTACAAAATGCTCTCTCCATTTATTTTTAGAGGTCCTATTTTGATTTTTTAATGTTTTATACATAAATTTTTTTATAAGAATTTAATTTATTATATAAATGATAATTCAATTTTTTATGATAATTAACTTTTTTTAATTATCAAATAAAAATATTAGACAATAGTTTTATGTATAAATAAAAAAATTTAATTATTATTTATATAAATTATTAAATTTTTATATAAAATTTATAGCCAAAAAATAAAAAATAAAAAATAAAAACTACTAAAATAAAAAATATTCACATAATTAAAGCAATATGCAAAAATCCGCATAAACAGAGTTAAACACACAACCTTAAAATTGTAACTTCTTAATGTTTAGATTGCAACTTGCAATCATTATGTCCCGCCATGATGGCTGTGAATCATGTATGATATGTTATGCATTTATGCATTCTCCTAATGAGTAGTGATTACACCAACCACGTGTGTCTTGAAAATTTTCTACTTAAATTAAGTTGACGCTTTCAACTCTTAATTAACAAAGTCTCTACTCCAATCAATCCACAAGTCACAACTGCATTACTCTAAATAATTAAAATCATCAAATATATTAAATAAATTAACAATTTGATAATTAACTAATTATCCTTTAAAAACAATGATTATCAACTAAACTCCTACTTTAAACTCAATTACATTTTAAACTTGCTCTACCCCATGAGCTAGACATGTTACATACCCAAAAAAAAAAACATTTTATAAATATTAATGAATATTTTCCTTGTATGAATATATACCCAAACAACTTATTAAATTTGTTTATTCTTTTTATAAAAAAAATTTCTTCAATGTCAAGTAAAAAATAAAAAAATAAAAATGAAGAAAAGAAAAGACAGGACGACATTCTCATTCCTATTATGTGTCAAGGTAGCTTATCTAATGTCTTAGCAAATACATATACGAAATAAATATTCAAATAAATTTCTAAATTCTAACCAACCACTCCCTAAAATTTTTCTTTTATTTATATTTCTACTTCAAAAATATATAGAACAAATGACTCTTGGGTGGGCCGTTGGGTTCAGTTCACTTCAGATCTAGCCAACAGGCCCAACGGGGATATAGGGCTCCTAACTTGACTCGGTTAGAGTGTTGACATCGGCCCAAGCAATGCATGAAAGGCTGATAAAGGAATGGCCCAGACCACAGAGCCCAGGCCAACACTAGGTATCGTCCTGACCCGTTCTTTTAAAAGACCCACGATTTGGATCCGAGTCTCTCCGATGGACCCGATCGAAGACTCGTCCGGACGTTAATTCAAATCAGGCCCCCGTCTCCGACTGTTTCAATTTTCAAACTCCATTTTCTCAAAACCAGTAAAACAATGGCGGGCGAAGGCAAGAGCAAAACCAGCAGCACAGTTTCAAACGATCTTTTCTCATCGGTGATATCTGACATCAAATCCTACGCCGGAAAGGATCCTCTTCTCCCCTGGCTCCGGTACTCTCCACACATATCAAATTACTTTGCTTTTATTTGTACTTCATCTGCTCAATGTCTCCGTAGACTTGAATTTACATATGTTTTCAATTTTGTTGCAGAGGGATTAGGAAGATGAAAGAGGCGCTGCCTCCTCATGTTCTGAACGAGAAGCTGCCTCGGTTCTTGCAAAAATGTGCGCAGTCGTTCCAGTCCGATCGCCGCTACCGGAATGATTTACGGTACCTTCGCGTTTGGTTGCAGTTGGTAAATGATGACTCTTACCCTTCACTCTCATTTTGGGCATTTTTTTTTTAATTTTATTTTTTTGGGCAGTTCATGCCAATGATTTTGAGAAAGAAGACGACTTTTGTGCATATTAGTGCTTTGTTTGTTTTGACTGCTTTTAGTTGGCTATCAAATTGAGCAGTAGTGGTAATCAATTTTGGGTTTTTATATTACTGATGGGTTTAATTATTTTGATTTTGGGTAGATGGATTTTGTGGATGAACCAAAAGTGTTATTGAGAACCATGGAAGTAAATCATATTGGGACAAAACGTTCATTGTTCTACCAGGCATATGCCCTTTACCATGAGAGGATGAGAAAATATGGTGAGGCCGAGAAAATGTACCATTTGGGGGTCCAAAAGTAAGTTTCTTTTCTTTTTCATATATTTTTACCATTATAATTAAATCCCAAATCCTATTGTCATGAGTTATAGAAAATGTTTCAATCGTGTTTTAACAAAGAGGTTTATTGTTTTTGTTTAACCATTGAAATTGAAGTTCTATTTTGCATCTTGTTTTCATAAAAAGCAAAGATTTTTAATCACATTTGATGCTGACAAAAATTTGGGATTTAGTGCAATATGTAGATCCGGTTGGAAAACTTAAACCAACACCTTATTACCTTCTCATCAATTACTATTTACTCAACAGTCTAGCTGAGCCTCTTGATGAGTTGCAAAAATCGTATGATCAGTTCCTTAATCGCATGGAGAGACATAACAAGAAGAAAATACAGGTAGCTTTTATTGTACTGTGCTATTGTGCTTGTGTTCATTGTCAAAGTCATTGTTTATCTGACTCAGGCTCTTTATTTTGCTGCACCAGGAAGGTAAAACTGCCAGAAGGCCTCTTTCTGCTATGAGTATCCCAACTCAAACCAGTGAGACCAGAGAAAATAATGAAAAGATGGCAAGAGTTGAGGGTAGCAATCCATCCTTGAAAAAAGAGATTGTTGAAATGGTTGGAAGTAGAAGTACAGCTAAGAAGCAAGTGTTAATGGATAGAAAGTCAGACGAACCCAGGATGGTTGGCAATGAAGATACAGTTGTGGTGAAGTTTGTTGACACTGCTATTGATGGTAAATCTCAAGCAGAGGATGCCTGCCATCATGGACTCGTGGATCCTACAATTAATTTGAAGGAGGCCATGAATGCAATTAATAGCATGTTTGGAGAGCCTTTAGAGATAGCTCCAGCTGGAAGGAAGTCACACAGAAGGCAACAGAAAGAAGATCATAGTCTAAACACAGGATTCAAGGTGTTTGTTGATGAAACGTTGAATGGTGGAGTCAATTCATCAGTTCAAAATGAAGAGAAGGGTCAACCCAACAGAGTTCAAACTTCTCAGCCTCAGGGAGAACCTTTTGAAATCTATGTCGATGATGACGAAAGTAATGAGATTGGTGATGGTGATGATAAAAAAGATTACTTTGAAGAGAGTGAAGTTCAAGATTCAGCAGAAGGTCCTATCTCACCTGCTTTACGTTTAAATGCCTTTGTCTTTCCCACTCCAAAGGATTTTCCATCAGAAAGTTCCAGTGAAGTAGCTGCGGAACGCTTCCCTGGTACAAAGCTTAGAGAGGATACAGTTGTCCATAGGTTTGTAGGTTCCACCATTTCAGATGAGCCAGAGGTGGAAAATGTTTGCCACCATGGCTTAGTAGACCCAACAATTAACTTGAAAGAGGCTATGGAAGATATCAATAGCATGTTCGGGAAGCCAATTGATTTTGTAAGGGCTAAGAGATCAAAGAAGCAGGAGAAGGCACCACTTCCAAAACAAGATCTTGGTGGGTTTTCAATACTTCCTGATGATGAACTTGAACCTCCGCGTCAACTTCCACCAAAATCGTCTTCCACCAAGTTAAATGATCAGGATTTATTCGAGCCAACAGTGTTTACAAAGGAAGCCATGGATGACATAAATAAGATGTTTGGAATGCCACTGGATTTTTAGGAGGTTACCATCATTCGTGCTTACGGAAATTCTGGAACTGATACAATTGATTGAGAATGAGCTGTGATCTTGATCTCATAAAAGTACCAATTTTACTTTGAATTTGGACTTCCAGTCCAGATGTGAAGATGCATGTTTGTGCTTTTTATTTTTAGCATAAGCTTGTACCATTTACCTTGATCTTTGGATTCTATTCGGAGCAGGATGTCACGGGGTCAGACTAGCTCCGATGGCCCTTGCCTCGGAGGCAGAATCTAGCTCGACCTCATGCGGCACTTAGCTCGGAATTAACCCCGTTAAACCCGAACCAAGTCAGCCTTCCCAACACTGGCGTGGCCCCTTAACTGAGCTTGAGGTTAGCAACACACAAATGAAGGTAGGAAGTTGGGAAAAGAAGAGAATTTATTCATATCGCAAGGGAGTGTACAAGAGTTTGAGTACAAAGCCTCTCTCTACACTCACTCTCACCTAGCAGCTCACTCTCTCAAGCCTCACTCCATCTCTGGCTAACTCCCCATCTGGAACCTCTTTTACTAAGGCCACCCCTATTTATAGGAGAGTCCAGCCCAAGAGCTCTCTGCAGGTGTCTCTAGAACACTCCACAAAAATCTCCTCATTTGTACAATTACTGGAATACCCTCCATTCGCCCTCTTAAGCCTAGCCTACAATATTCTAGAATTCCCTATCCTAGAATTATCTACAAGGCTCTAGAATTTTCCCCATGCAGCCCAGGTTCAGACCACTGTTCACATTCTTATCCAGACCACTGTTCACGTCATTATCCTTTCTCACAGGTTGCTTCTGGAGACTTCCTTGGTTGGGCTTGGCCCAATTAAGCCCATCCAGACTCCTGTCTGGAAACCATCTCTGCACCCAGGAGCTTTTGGAGTTTTCTGGGCTGCTCCAGCGTGCTCTAGCATGTCTCGACCGCGACCCCGTGCCACGGCCTTGGCATGGACGCTGCCAACTCATGCCAGGCCCACCCCTTGGGAGTTCCATGCTGCGCTCGCGCCCACGTCCGTGCCCATGCTCGGGCGCCCATGGGTGCCGTGGCTACCGCCCTGTGCCACGATGGCCTTGACTTGGGCCCCCGAACTTGCGCTCCGTGACAAGGAGCTTTATATATCCTTCGCTTAATAATGGTCTAAGAAACAAATTACTGAAAAAGAAAGGTTAAATACCCTTTTTGGTCCCTCTACTATAGAAAAAAGCCCTTTTTTGGTCCATGTACCGAAAAAATTCCTTTTTTAGTCATTACTATTCACAAATCTGACCCCTTTTTGGTCTTTCCGTTAATTTTTGCTCACGTGGCACGTTAACTTAATTGAAATAGCTGATGTGGATATGCCAACATGTAAAAGATGCTTACGTGGATTTAATGATACCCTCCATGTCACCATCCACGTGCAAGAAAAAAAAAAGTAAAATGCTAAATTTGATCCCTCAACTTTATAGGTTTGTATTTTTTTGATCTTTAAATTATTTTTTTCACTTTTTTTATCTTTTAACTCTAAAAATTATACAATTTTGATTCTTCCATCAATTAAACATGACGTGACAATTAAATAATTCAATTTGACATTTTCTTTTAATTTTTTTGATGACATGACAATTATATATATTATAATTATCTTATATAGATAAATAAAAATATCACGTAAATAAACATTTATATTTTAATTAAAAAATAAAATTACATTATTACCCTCACCTCCCAATCCCTCTTCTTCCCCTTCTTTCTTTCTCTTTCTTTCTTTCCTACCCAGATCGACTGAGTTACAAGGAGTTGGGTAGCTGGGTTCGTCGAGCACTACTTTCTATGTTGCATCTCACTTCAAAACTTCTGCGCAGAAATTCCTCCAAACCCTCTGAAATCTCCCAGCTGCCGCTGATTACCTTCCTTTTCCGTAACTCTTTTGCAAAACACGAACATGAAATCCGCTCCGATCCAATTCAATCCCGTCCGTCTCGATCATTTCATCCGATCCAATGTTTCTCGCTTGCTGAAATCCAATCTCTTTGCTGTTCTTGCTTGCTTGTCCCGGTCGCACGAACCCAACCTTGTTGGTCTTGGTTGCGCGAATCTGGCCCTACTAGTTGTGCAAACCCAGCCCTGCTGGTTGCGCGAACCCAGCCTTGTTGGGTTCGTCGAAACCCAACTGCTTGGTTCGTGCGACCGGCAAGGCTAGGTTTGACCAACCCAAGCTCGACGAAACTAGCAAGGTTGGGTTTCGACCAACCCAGCCATGCTGGTCGCGCGAACCCAGCCTTGCTGGGTTTCGACGTTGGGTTCATATTTTTTCATTTTTCTTTCTATTCTCATTTTCGGTTCTTGATAAATTTGAGAGTTGATTTACAATTTGATTGCATTTTTTTTAGAATTGGATTAGAGTTTGATTGTATTTTTGTTGGAATTGGATTAGAGTTTGAATGATATTATTTATTGAAGGGTTAATTTGATTTGATGAGATCTACTAGCTTGATGAACTTAGTGGCTTTAATGAAACCAGTAACTGAGTTTTGACGAACGCAACAAGGTTGGATTCGAGCAACCAGCAAGGCTGGGTTTCGACGAACCCAGCCGATCTGGGTAGGAAAGAAAGAAAGAGAAAGAAAGAAGGGGACGAAGAGGGGTTGAGAGTTGAGGGTAATAATGTAATTTTATGTTTAATTTAAAATATAAATATTTATCTACGTAA